CAAATAAAATTTAATTTAAATATAAAATCATTGGTCGTTCTGAATGAAAACAAAACAGTACACAGGGAAGGAGGAATGTGGTATTGGATTTTGTAATCTTCTAGTCTAGCTTAATAATAATAACTTGGATATAATTTTGACTATGGCATTATAACCTTATAAAAGGCACTCGGGAAAGCAGAAAATTAGCGACAATTTTATTTCTGGGAGTTGAATGCAATTAAGCAGAAATGAGAAACCCTTTCAACATTAAAAGTACGCCATGTACGAGTATGCTACCCAAAATGTTTCATTTGTGCCAGCGAATGAAAAATATTGCCTGGAGATAAAGCGAGTGCCAATTGACCATTGTAGTTTATAATTAACAAAGAGAAATAAACTCCTAAATCTAATCAACTAATGGAATCTTTTAGTTTCGAACTGGAAAATAAAAAAGAGGCGAAATAATTGATTGTTTATAGAAAAATCTACTATCACTTGTTTTATTTAACAAAATCCGAAGTTAAAATTGGATAAACATTTTCAAATCATCGAACTGGAGCTGTCAGTATTGCCACATTTATAATGCAGCTATAACGAGGGTCGTTTCAAGCTAAAAGTTTGCTTATACATTTGTTTTACAAGAATTAGACGGACTTAAAGTTTGAATGAATTTAGCATAATTTAAGACATATATTTGAAAAGTTTGCTTTTCATTTCTCTGACATATTCTAGATACAAAGGGTGTATTAATGACAGATTTTATGGAATGTAAACTTTAAAAAGAGGGAATGTTCGCTTTACGTTTTAGACAAAAATTTTCTGTTCACTTTATTACATTTCACTTTGATGTTTATTACTATTGAATCATTCCTGACATAAATGAGCAACATTTTGGATAAGCTTTTTAATAATTAAAGTTTTACTGTCTATATCAAACAAATAATTTTATTAAAGAATCTGATTAATATTCAGCTTTTTTATATTTGCTAAATTAAAAAATCTTGATTTGCGAGAAATGTTAGTATGGTCAGGAACAAATGTTATAAATAAATATTACATTAGGGTATTTCTGTTAACAATAGAAGTGCTTCACTCAACCGTATCTATCAACCATGATTTCGGTATCTTGGCAGTGATCTGAAATATGGATATAATTTCACTTCTGGGACAGGCTTAAATTTCGCTTTCGCATATTGTTCTGAAGTGATTAATATTCAGGAATAATGCTAGAAATGACCTTTACTACAATGATTCAAAAGCTTTTGTTATGTTTGCGTAAAATAAGATCAATAAAGTCTATTTAGAAAGCTGAAAAATAACAACCTTTCTGTTTATTTATGTACCAACCAATGTTTGCTTGTTGCGAGCGAATAAAATCCGGGTCGTATTTAAGTAAAAGCTATACCATCCTGTATCTGGGGCTAATCCAGGCCCGTATCATCTCCAATCCGATTCTTACAATAAATTATCCACGGCTTAGTCGGGACTAAATTACTTAAATCCTATTTCAAAAACCGCACATCATCGCCATCGTACCCTCTTTTATTCGATTATATAAATTTGTTCGTTTCCAATTTCCCACCGAAATTGGATTTTAAATTCTAAAAAGAAACTAGATCAGTATATGACGTTATATTTATTTCCTGGCTTGGGGGATGTGTATATATAAATCTTATAAACGGCCCACTGGAACGTGCATTACCTTCTGACACATATTATGGAATAAATTCCACCACCCTTTGACAAGTTTATTGGTATTCGGGGGAAACACCCGTTACTCTTCTTTAGTGTTCTATTTGTTTGAGGGTGGGCTTTTGTTACGCACAATTGTTGCTGCCAAGTGCAGGATCCTCCAGAAAATTACAAACTTTATTTATTTAATAAATACGAGGAAACGTTGTTATAACAAAATAAATCGCCTCATTTCAATCAAAATTGATTTTAGCGGGCGAGGGCGCGTGAAACAAACAAAAACTCGTTAGAAGACAAAGCTTTAAATATTTATAGCACAAAAGTGGCAAGAAACCTCAGATTACTGACATTTGTTGCTTAATTTTAGGGGCTTTGTTTGTAGGAGAGTACGCTTGTGCTTTGAATGGGAAAACACTAATTAAACTACCAGAATTAATTTTATTACGAGTTTGTTTTAATTCAGTTTTTATTCACTATTGAATGTGAAAGCTCAAGTAGTATTTCTTTGAATTTTCTCTAAAAGGGTCTAATTCTACCCTTGTCTACCCTTTGACGTCAATTCTAAAGTCATTAGCAAAATCGATATTAACACTAAAAGCAAGAATATTTTTTGTACATCTTTCTTAGACTAGTGCAAAGAACTCATAATAAATTAACTTGATGATAAATGAATTTTTCCTAGTTTTTTATATTAAGTGACTACAAGTTATTAAAAATTGATTGATGAGTAAGCATATCGCAAAAAATTGAATTTTTTTATTGCGAAAAGCAACACAGCGAAACACCGCGAATTTAATTTAAGACGCACCTGGATTTTATAGAGTGAAAAAGCTTTTGATGGGATTTTCAGAAGACTGAAATTTCATGAATAAAATAACGCAACCACATATTTTGACATATTTTTTTCAAGAACTTACTTAATGTGATTTCTCAAAACTCAGTCTAAAGCATTATAAAATATGAAACTGTGGCTTAAAACTCATTTCAGCAAAAACCGTATCTTTTAAATAGTTTAAGCTCTTTGGAAGCTTTAAGCTTATTAATAAGTTTGTGCGATTGTAACCGAAACTGCGGTATGCAAGTAGCTATTGATTTGTAAAGGAAATGAGCTTCAACGTGATATTTATCAAAAACTTTTACACATTTTTAGAAGAAAACTTTGGTGATATTTTAAAATTGACAAACTTCGTCGGGAAGTTTGGTTAAATTTTTATACTGTAATTGATTTAGCTAATTTTGAACAAACTTTTGGCGTGGATGGGTCTCCATTCTTGGTATATTAGCCGAGATTACGTTCATTATATTTTTTTTGAAAAAAAATTATCTAACAATATAAAGTTTTTTTTGCTTTTATCGAGTCAATTCCTGTCCTAAGAGAGTTGTCCAGTTCAAAGTTCCGATATTGCTTCTAGATTCCTGCACATTCCCAAAGACCCCTTGTTATAAATGGCATTTAAATGGCTTTGAGAGTTTGCTCTTAAAAACGACTGTAGTCAGTTCTCGATCAACGTCACAGTGACGTTTATTGTTCTTTTATATGCACGGCATAAAGAGCCCTATTGTTGGACAAAAGTGCCGTTAAAGATCTAAGAACTTTAAAACATCGATTAAATGAGATTGGCGCCATCAAATCCACAACTTTGCCATAAATATTTAATAGCGGAGCAGCCTTAAAGCTCTTTAACTTCGACAATTAGGCCCTCACGAAAATGAATTATTACAATCGTTTAGTGCGGTTTCTGCAATATTAATTATGGTTGGAGTTATTGCATTAATGACAGTTGTAGTTGAGAGCAGCTGGTTGAAATACGCATTGTTTAGCGTCTTCCATTTCCATTCTCGCTGTATTAATGTGCCTGTAGTTAAGTGAAGGCACGCTTATTTACAATCAAAATTACTATTGATTCGATACTGTAAGGTCAGTGGTAATTCTACTTACTGTTGTACTTGAACCAAATGGATTTTTCTTTGGTTTCACTTGATTGAATGAAAATTATTTTTAGACCTTTAAGAAAAGAGGATAGATTAAATTTTCTGCTTGAAAGTAATCACATTCGATATTATTTTATTTTTGTCTTCCATTAAGCTTTCTTTAAATCGTATTAGAGAAGACAAAAGAATCTGGTTTTGCTTCTTGCTATTTAATGAGACCGTGCAATCTATTTTGCAAATACTGATTCAGTTGAATCAATTGATTTTAACGAGAACAATTGAATGCTAAGAAACGAATTAAAAGACAAACAATGGGGATAAAAACTGAAACTAAGATTTGCAGAGAAATACAAATTTAATTAAATGTTTGCACTGAATTTAGAAAAGTAGTGAAAAAGTTTTAAAATTCTCTGCAAGTTGCAAAGTTTTGACTGTTGTGCTGTAGGATCATCAATTATTCTTGGTACAAGTTTTGGAGAAAAATGGTTTGATGACAGATGCTTCAAACTTCCTAAATCACGATGAAGAAAAATTCATAAAATAAAAAACATGTGAGATAGGTTGACGCAACTACAAATTAGAACGCAAAGAAACGTGTGAATAATTTTTTGCTCTCTGAACTATCGAACGAAATCCGTTTAACGTCTCGTAGTAAAAGCTCCCAAAAGAGTTTTTGCTTGAAAATACATTCCACTTGTGTTTACAGATCCGTTTTTACCATTCCCTGGCCATTTTTTTAAAGGATGTTTTTATTTATGCACAAACATGCAAAATTGAGTATTTTTGATTACACTGACTTTTTAATAATTTATGAAATTGAACCGTGGAAAGCTTTGCAAAATTTAAGCCGTCAGAAGAACAGTATTACCATCTAAATTTTAAAGTTTTAAAAACAAATACAAGAGTTTGGCAATGGAAGGGAAAACTGTACTGTTTAATAATTTGATAAAATCGGGAAATTTTAATTACGATAGCTGGTGGGTATGTGTGTCTTGTTTGTAGCAACTTTCGGGTGTGTTGATTAGGTAATACGCAAACTAATTGAAATTAATTAATTGTATATTGTGTAGAACTCGGTGGACCCATTTCAACTTGTTCGCTAGATTAAAATTCAGGGAACGAGTACGTTTTAAAATACTTTTTGAGCTTCACCTCAAATAAATGTCATTTAACAATAAAGTTATAAATAACACTTTATTTGCATTATTTTATAATAATAATCGAAATTTTGTCGCAGACTGTGTCGAGTAATTTATTTACAAAGTTCTCCTGCTTGGGAGTAAATTCACCAACTCCTCATAAATGAAGCCTTTGTGCTCATTATTTTCCTTATTTAAATGTAAATTGCTTCAAGCAAAAATGTCTTATTTTTAACACTTGTGATTTCGTTCCAGATCGACACAATGTTGTAGTCATGAAGTCAGCTCTGTTATATCCTTATTACGACAGTTACGTCGGAAGGGGCTATTGCCGGATATTGAGCCCACGTCACGCCGCTGTCACAGCGGCAATATACACATTAGTAAGTATTTACCATACGATCAACAAACCAAAACTCTCGTGGATAACCGTATTAGTGTGTATCTCTGAGAGTGGAGTTAATTGTTTTTACATAATCACACCACCACTAGAACTAGACGGTGCTAGAGTCTAGTGTTTATGAGGCAGGGGTGGTAATAAGCACTTAAAATGTAAATAGTGGCTTGATGGAATATCGCGCAGCGGATGCATGCAAAGGTGTTTCTAGGTCAAAGTTACCAATATTTTTACACATAAAAATTGGATTTGCTTACCATCATATTAAATCTATTAAGGCATCAAAAATATCATTTAATAACATTTTTTTCTTATATTTCTTTTTGATGTTTTTTTTTACAGAAATAATAAATAATCCATAAAATAGAACAGAATTACCGAATCAATTATAAGTGAATGGTTAAATTTGCTGATATCGAAATGGAAATTCTATTGTGATAACTTTTATGTTCCATAAAACCCAGATTGAATTTGCCAAGATTAATTTCTCTGACTCACAATGCATAAAATTTGCATTAAATCGCCGAGTGCAGTGTAATTCGCCAAATGATCTACTCGTGGAAATATCGTTTTCTCTTTTTTCCATATCCATTTCTCCCAAAGTAGGTTTCATGATCGTTTCCCCACTTAGCTTTAATTACATATTCGACTCGTCAAATTGATAGCAGTTTAATAAATGAATGAATAAATAATAAACAAAAATCCGTATTGCAAAAGCTTTGTTTTATTTTATTCTGCGACAAAACTGGTGTCAGATGAGTTTATATATATATATATATATAGGAAAATATGATGTGTGTGATGTGAAGGTTATATGTAAACACAAAAGTTTTTTACAAAACTCATATAAAACTCATCTCTTTTTTATTGCAGAACATTTCCATTCTTGTGGTATTATTATACAGTTGGAGGATAAGTGTAAATATTAAGAAGTATTCAAGTTTGGAAGACGTATATTATGGTAAGTTTTCAAAGATATTCTGATGCATGTGCGCTTTTGTGACAGAGACAACCTTTTATGTTGCTGCATAAAAATTGTGCATTATGTTATTTAAAGTGTTGCGGCAAGATATTGCAGCGGAAACAAGGTTGCGGTTTCTTGTGATCAAGCAACGCTACTATCTTACTTACTAATAATATTGAATGAAAGAGAAGGCCATCTAAAGAGATACACGCTTTGCTCAATTCAAATTTTAACAGTTTTCTTTAAAAATTTAAGTTACAGTTTTTAGAGAACTTTATAGTTTGCAAAATGCTACTTTAACTAAGTGTTTTCTATAAACTATTCATATATCGTATTTGACAAATGTGATGCGAACGAAATTTTTCACTTAAAATATTGTACAAGTTCAGTCGCTTCATTTGTCATCAGTGTTGAAAAAAGTTCGGTTGAAATGTCCCGTCATATCTCCTTTTTCATTTCCCAACTGGTCAGTCTCGTCGATGAAACAACTTGACCAATTTACTCTTATTTCTTTTGTATCATTTCTTTTTTACGGCATTTTCGTAAAATTTTATGTCGTCAATTTTCATCCAACACCCTATAATCCTCGTCTATAAACTATCTTCTCCCCTACACGTGATGAGGCATTAAAACGATCGATAAACACATACTAACATAAAAGACCACTTTTTGCTTATAAATCGAACCATTTCGGAGCGATGCTAACACAATAAAACTCCGTTTTTATGGAAAATTTGTCAAGAATCAACCCCCAAAAAATCGCATCAGAGATTAATCTATCTCGAGTCTGTGATCAAATATTTGTCTTCATCGGACTGGCTGTCTTGTCCAAACTTTGTTGAAAATCATACTGCAAAGCACAAACTTTGATATTCTCGATAATGTAAGTTTGTGTCACCCTTTCCCCGACAACGATTTTCTTTCAAAACAATTCTTGTTTACGTCATGAAATTTTATCGACATTTTTTATTTCTGTTGCAGGTGTCCAAATCGCTTACTTAGCCATCATAGGGACGCAGCTGTTTATGATTTTTTTAAGTATAGTCCTCCTCATCGGTATATACAAGGTAAGGCTTTCTCTCGGGTAAAATTGATGGATTTATTAGTGGAACCGACATTAATCTGAAGCACGGGCGTCTTTCAAATAGCAGGGGAAATTATTCGGTAGAAATTGGATTATCTGTTTCAGCGGAGTCGTGAAAAATAAGATTGCTCATAAAAGTCTCTGGGCCTATACGAACACTTCTCTAATTTATGAATCGTGAAAGGATAAATTAATCGCGACAAGACGAAAATGCGATAAGGCGTTAAATCACAATCGTAAGCAAAAATTCAGTTATACAATATTTTCCACTACCTATAAACACTGGTTGATGATTTTTCACCACATCCAGGCCATACAATGAAAATAGATAACATTTTTTACCAATACTGCACGAACAATGCAATTTTAAATTTGAATAGGAAAATTGAAACAATGCATTTGGAGGGCACTCATTTTTTCATAAAACGCATTAGTTATTTCAAGTGAAACGAACGTTGTATATTTATGTATTAAAAATGTATGAAAAACATACGTTCAAATTGGGAGAGATAAGTAATACGTAATATGAGAAAATTTCGCCGAGCAGGCAAGTTCCAATTAAAATCATGCGGGTTTTCAGTTTTTTATATTTTTTATTCGAGGCTAAATTAAATTTACGAAATGTTGCAGATGAAAATGTCTTGGAACCCGGAACTGTATAAATTTACCTGAATAATAATTAAGTCACTTTAATTACTAGATGGAGCACAAAAATTTTGCAATTCAACAATTCTTTTTCATTGGGTGTTTTGGATAACTATATTTGCTGACAGAGCATTATTGAATTTGAAAGTTTTTGTTTTGCAGATAGGATTTTCAAAGTAAATTTTGCTATCTCGTCCATAAAGTTAGTCAAGAAGAACTTTGCAATAGGTAATTGATAAATTTGTCAGTCCCAACTTGAACAAAGCTCTCAATCCGAGAACTTAGGAGGGAATAAATATCAGATTACCCATATGAGCGTGATAAAGCGCTTCCTGTATCGAGATCCTTTTGAATCCTTTTAAAAAAGTAAGCATCCCAATCGTTTTTGCCTCAGGTTTTGCTGAAGCTGCTAAAATACCCTATAAAGGATCAAAGAAATTATATTTACTCACGCTGGAATGGGCAGATGCTCCTTCACATAAAAAACACTCTTATTGATTCATCAGACTTAAAAAGCTGGTGGACACGATCAATATAGATATCAGAGAAAACTAATATGCTCCACATGCAAGTCTGATTTTGAGGAAGCTTCTGATTGAGGTGCTATTGAAAAATCCGAGGATCTCTTTCGACAAAACGTTTTTTGAATAGAAAACAGTCTATCGGAAAGCTTTGATTCTGATTCCGTGAAATTGTTCGCGACAAGAATGGTGAATTTTTACTTCAATCCGATTTTTAAAGCAATTAAGTTCAAAAATTGCAGGAATATATTTTTTTCACATATAAGAAGCTTAACAGTTGTTTGTTTACTCGTAACTGCTTTACATTTATTTAAATTAAAATTTTAAATAATTATATGTGCTTGAAAGGCTTTTTAATTAATTACAGTAGCAATTTACGTTTTAATTAAATCTAAATGTTACGAGTTACTTGTATGAAACGATTTTAATTTTCCCTCAAGTAAACTGTCTTACTCTTGTATTTCGACATTTTATTAAGACTTGTTCAAAATTTTATCAAATTTCTTCTATAACAAAAGTAATTTTTTAAAGTATTAACATTAAAAAATCGTGTGATGGTGATCTAATTTTCTTGCTCTCCTTTAAAAACGTCAATTTCCAAAAACACAATATTAATCAAGAAAGTTTATTTTATCAAGTCGCTAACTTGTAAGACTGACAGTTAACTTGTAAAAGTTTTACAAGTTAGTAGCATTATTTACATTAGAAAATTAGAGAATTTCATCACATCGACAACATCCAACAATCTCAAATATTGTTACAATTTTCGCTTACTGGTCATCAGGAACGTCCAAAAGAAATCGTTCAACCTCTTTTTTACTGAATACCTTGGCCTTTTTTGGCGCATAACGCTCATTTTTTCGTTTAAGAAACGCTATTACCTTTTGAAATTTGCAAATGACAACTAAAGGTCATATTTATTTATAATGTTTTTAAGGAAAACAAACCTGGGAGGTGAGGCATTTTCTTTCATTTCCAAGCAACTTTTGAGCATAGACCATTTTGCCCATAAAGCGTCGTCTGCGTTGATTGACAGTAATAAAAGTCTGGGCAATGCCAAAAAATGGCCGTTGGGGGAGCGACGAGTCCGCGCTCCAATGGAATCTGTATATTTTGGTTTGAAACCTTGATAAATTTTTGTATACAAAAAATTTACTTTTGTGTTTTATGGGTTGTATAATAATAAATGCGTAATTGTTTACTTTCGATTTTAATTTTTTTTAAGAACTAGACAAAAAACATCAAAAATTATAACATTTTATACGCAAATATAATTTTATTTATTTAAAAAAATAAAAATTTACATTTGGTTAGATAGTTATTTTTAATCTTTACAAATTTACAAGAGCATTAACATATTACAATAACTCTTTATTATTTCTTCAATACTTCGAATAAAAAACACTAGGATTAATTATGTTTTCTATTATTTTTCTATTTGGACCTTGGTTTTCAGCTCTGTTTGTCCTAACATTTTAAAAAGTGCAACATTTGATTTATGATTGTCACTTATCAATCTCAAGATTTTGAAGCCACATTCATATACCTGTTTTATTACATTTATGCTCATATTAAAAAACTGTTCAGTCAAAAGTGTTTTATGAAAAAAGTATCCAACGGAATAGTGTATTTGGTAGACAATCCATGAAGCACAACAGTTTATTGGCTAAAATGGGCTTATTTTCTATTATTTCGTTCTCAGTATTTGCAATGCCGTAAAATGTATTTTCTGTTGGACTATACTCCATTTTTTCTTTAATGGCCATGTCATCTATAATAAGGGAACATATTTTCCCAACGTCTTTTAAATTATCTGTCTAAAGTTATCTGTCTAAAGTTTTTCTGAATGGAGCTCTTAAAAAATGACTTCTTCTCGCAAATTCATAACCTTTTGAAGAAATGTACCTCCAGGCAGTACAATGACATACTGTAACTTCAGACCATCTTCGATTTTTTAGGGAATAAATATAAATTTGATGAAGTAAAAACACAGCCCTTGGTTCTAAGTCCTTTGCATCTGACTCAATTTTCACTACACAATGTTGACCTTTACTGTAATTGTCAATTTTTTCCTGCATTTTCTTTAGTTTTTCAAGTTTATTTTCATACAGCTTATTCGACTTTTGAAATCTTACACTTGCTTCCTGTAACTTTTTTTCTAAATTTTGAATTATATCTAGTAAGACAAATTTTTTTGGTTTCTACTTTTCGGAAATTGATGTAAAATAACATCCTCTTTCTCCCCTTGCCCATAGTTTGGAACACAGCAAGTTCGGATACTTGGCATTTTAAAAATTATAATGTAATGTCTGAATGATATTTATACTGCGCTTCCTAAGCTGAAAAAATGAATTAAGTAGTTGTGTGACAGATCAATATTTTATTAAATGTGTCAACAACTGTAACATTTAATTTCTTGCAAATTTTCAAATTTCACAAATTACAGTTTTTCTTTGGAGCGTGATGCGCGCGTCATCTACCAGAATTTACCATTTTGACAAGTTCACGATTTTGGCCTATTGCCCAGACTTTTATTACTGTCAATCAACGCAGACGACGCATAAAGTATTAGAACTGAATCTAGCAGATAGTTGATTCACGTAAACCAACAAAACATCTTCAGTTACCCCAATCACACTATTTTTGTTCTGTCACTTTTTGAAGTCGTCGGATTCTCGCTCGTACCTTGAAGCTGATTTTGCAGGTAATAAACTTGAAGCTACACTGCTGGCTTAATTGTTTTTGTGTTAATTAATGATTTTTTTCTTCGCGGTATTAATAATTATCATAAATCTAAAATTGTGTTTATCTGTGCGTTTCAGGTACAGCTTTGTACTTAGCTAGGTTGAAGTTAGTGAATATATTTAATATAATGCAATAAGCTCGGGGCCCGATTTACTCAAGCCTTATATAAAAACAATACTGTCAGATAAGAACACAACGCTAAATAGTTATCTTGCATGCAACCACAAACAAACAAGGAATTTGCAAACTAATGTACTAATTTCAATAAATTATTACATCTTCCATCTTACAATGACATTCTTTAAACGGAAGCCTGAAGTATTTAGAAAATGTTACTGATTTGTGTAAAGCACGCACTTTAACTTTATAATGATGATACACCGATCGTTTTTAGAGAAAAGTTTTTGTAAATTTCAGATTCGTTAAAATCGGATCGCATGAATAGATCCGGTGGAAAAAAGTTGTCACTCGTAGTTTTGGTTCCGGTTGTCAGTATTCTTCTCCAGGTCACGTTTCGGTCTGACACAATATCGTGCCAATAATAACAAGGTGAAAAATCTCAGTGGGCATTAGTTTGATGACACTTTATTTAAAGGAAGTAATTCATCACATAATTGGGAGACATTAACCAGCGTGATTAAATTATACAAACAGGGGCGGCGCATTTAACATGATTGTGTTTGTTCATGAGGCAGATTCTTGTTTGTTCTGGTGCCTTCCATGCATGCACGTTGTGCGCCGTCCTTGTGGCTAGAGATATTATTAGCGAGGAGATACTGTACCAACATGATACTGCCGCTTTTATCGAATTACAAGAGACTCTATTTGATTAAAACGGTTTATTAAACTAGAATTTACGTTGGTCTAATAGGAGTAATTTAATCTCTTGCCTATAGCAAAATTATAACAACATTAATTATTGCTACACAAACATTTATTTAAACAGAAACGTCTCTATAAACTGGTCTTATTCTGGTGGTGTTTTTTTTTTAAGAAAAGAATAACAAATTCGTTGAACGTCACTTAATAACTTATGATAATAGGATTTGCTGCGCTTGTCCTTTCTATTGTC